CCATATATATATAGACATATATATATGGATTACGGGCAATGATCTAAGGATAAGGTCATTGTGGCAGAAAATTACTGGCTAAATAGTTTGAACATTTAAATTTTAAATCAGTCTCTTGTTTAATGAATCTGGGGAAAAAAAAAAAAAGGTAGTATTTTCACAAGGCTGTTTGAATGTCACTGTCCCACCTTTTGCCCCCTGGGTGAGGATTTCTCACTCGCCGTTACAAGGGCGGCGGAGGGAGCTGAAAACCCTCCAGTCCCAGCGCTGCTTCTGGGAGGGGACAGCAGGGAAAAACACCTCATTTCTCCTGGGACTGGGTAACAATACCTGACAGGTTTAGTAAATAAATGACACTCAAAGAAGGAAAGGGAATATAGTTACTGGAAGCTAAGCAAAGCTGCCACTGACACCATTTTCTTTTTGAGTATGTTTTGCTTTTGCTGTCTTAGGAAAAAGGCTTCTTTGCACCCTCCTTCAGGTATTTATGGACATTGATAAGAACCTCACGAGCCTCCTCTTCTCCAGGCTGAACAGTCCCAGCTCTCTCCGCCCTTCCTCCTAGGAGAGATGCTCCAGTCCCATCACTGGGCTGTCTCCAGTGTGTCCATGCCTCTCTTGTACTGGGGGGCCCAGCACTGGACACAGTGTGCCAGGTGTGGCCTCACTGGAGCGGAGTAAAGGCAGATCATTAAAGTCATCAATCCCTAAGAAAGGCATATATGCCCCTAGACTTACCTGCATTTCTTCATTTACATCAAATTATCCATTACCAGGTACTACTGTACCTGTGAATTTCACCTTAAATGAAAATCATCGCTGGCATGCATTCAAAAAGACCCCTGTATTGATAGGAACAACAGAACATAGCCATCGACAGCAACTCCTCTTCTGCCAATCTCCTCTGCTTCCCTCTACCCAAAAGACATTGAAATTCCTAGTAAAGTGAGAAAGAATTCTGCTGTCATGCATCTTCAGATTTTGTTCTTTGAAATAAAGTACCAATGTCGAACAGCAGTACATAACACTTACCAATAAGCTGAGTACTTCAGTACAAAGTCAAATGCTAATGGCACCGCACAATTATCATTCAGTAAAGCAACCCTACAAAAATAATCCAGTATCCAATAAAGATTTAGCCCCAAAGAGGTTCTCTGTGTTTTTATCTGTACGTTCTTACCCAGGTTTATATATATATAAATAATATAGACATATAAATATAAATAAATAAATAAACAATCCCAGTAACAAAACCCATTCCAAAAGCAGAAGTCTTGGGAAAGTCACAGCATGTGTGATCCAGTATGCAAAAATGTTTACCAGATGCTGATTTCCTGCAAACTAATAATGCCATCACAGGAAACTTCTGCTTCATCGCCCTTCCCCACACTGAGTCTTAAAGCTGGTTATATTACAGATATTCCACAATACCAACATTGGTTAAGTGCTTCCACTTTGAAAAACATTGAGTTTAATTAACTTGCTTGTGATTTTTACCATCAACACTGACAAATCCAACTCTACATTGTCCAGTTGAAAATATTAAATTATTAATAGGGCTGTATCTCATCCCACTGAATAATTTCAGTGAAGAGAGTCAAATATAGTTCTTCCTCAGACTTCTGCCATACCACATAATATTTCTATTGTTAGAAGTATTTTGAATAAGGAAAAACACTTCAAGGGTCTTAATCTTTAGGAAGACTTTGGAAATTGAAAAAAGACATTTAAACAAAGTTCCTTCATGCACTGTGATAAACTGCTCTTAGAAGGTGAACTGTAAAAGTTCAAATTATTTTTCTAGTACTTCTGGATACATCTGAAACATATCAGAATGAGATTGCCTCAGGTATTTAGGAACTTAATTTTCCAGTTTACGTATTAGATATTGTATAAATAGAATGAGTATTTCCATCTTCCAGTTCTGGTTTTGCTTCTTCTGGCACCATTGAAAAGAACTGATAAAAGATTTCTGTAACCCCCTCTTCTAACCAAGCTTCAAGCATTACTCCTTCCCACTCATTTGGTTCCACATTCTGAAGAAAAATGTGGATTGCCTGCAAATGATGAATTCTGCCTATTTCAGAAACATTCACTGTAGACTGCTTTGCCACCATTTGTAATCTGACAGTGAAATCCTTCACATTAAATACCTTTCTTCCAGAGTGCTGAAACTCTGTGTCACAGAACAGTTATCAAAATAATAGCCCGCAGTTAGCTGCTGAAAGATCAGATGAAACATTTTCCCTAGATGAGCAAGGAAAAAACAAAACAAAAAACAGAATCCACCACACCTTACTTCAGTAAACATGTTTAGCATAGTTTTACTTTTGAAAATCCCCAATCGAAATGTGTCCCCAAACTCTACTGTAGAAGTCACCAGTAAGAAAAATAGACTGAAATTGAAGTTGTACAGGAGAAAAAAATATCCAAGGCGGCCAGCTACAGCATAAATCACTAAGAGGAACAGTTGCATAAACAAGTTGCATCCTCACAGCAACCTTGTATTATACTGAAGAGATCACAGAAATACAGACAGCTTCCTATGGTCTTTCATTTCAGCATCTCATAAGAGTTCAGAGACAGAAGCTGTTTACCGAAGACCACAACGACTGGAATGCTCACGTTCAGTCTTCTCATTTTAAGCCCCACTTCGGAAAATGAATTAGCACATTCTGATTTGTCTAAATCATGCAACACTGCCAATGTAAGCCTTAATTAAATTTATATATGATATTCTTCACATAGGGTTTTTCAGGAAGGAGTGTAACTGAAGACTCATGGGAACTTCCTAAGTTCCTAAGCTACATCCATGCTGTAGCATCAGTGTCACTATGTCAAAAATATATGGAACCAAGAAAGGGATAAAGAAGTAAATGTGCAAAATTTATTATGTTCTTCAACGAACACAGACATAAAATTTATAAAATTAGATGACATCTTCAAAATAGAAAAAAAAAAATTATACATAAACACCAATAGTTGTTTGTTACAGTAAACAGCCCACATAAAACTCAAAACCAGTTTGCTCTAAATCAATTCTTCCATAAAAAATAAGGTACTTTAAAAAATAACTTCAAAAGGAAGTGGTATGTAAATTGAAACACTATTGCAGCATATCCTTATAATTTGTACAAAGAAAAGTCTATTGGCAAAATGAGACTAAGTTGAAAAAGCCTGAATTACAAGCATCCTCACCATTCTGTTAAAAGGCATTTTCTAATTCAACTTGGGTCCCTCTAATTACAGAAATAAGTTTCCTCCTTGTTAAGAGAGATTCACATTTCTGAATACAATTCAATTAGAAGTATTATGTAGCCATGCAGAAACCCAAAATTAATCAAGAATATGCCTCTTAACGTGCCTTGTTATTTAAGGTATCAGTATTCTTTAGTTTCTTCTTGCGGTGTACATCTGGCTTGGATGTTTGTTGGCTTTTATCCTAAATGCAGTGCAAAACAATTTGACCCAACCTTTATTTACAAAGAGCTTCCACTATGAAATTTTTCTTTATAGTAAAGTGAAGCAAACCTCCTTCCTGCCTCTTCCCCTGCCCATACTTGCCCAGATTACCGAGCGCTGTGGGAGAAGAGCACCCTGACGCAGGGACACAGGTACAGGAACAAGCAAGTGGGCACTGGGAGCATCCCGCAGTCGTGGCCACCAGGAATTCTACAAGGAGGCTCCAAGGAGCCACTTCACTGAGGCTACTGTTGGTTGCTCTGCATCTTTTGTTCTGGACCTGCTGTGCCAAAAAGCATTGCTGGCCCTGAGCGGGCTGGAAGAGAATATCAGAAAAGTTCTGTAAAATTGTATTTGGCATTGATTTCCTTCTGCTGGTGTAAACATCGTAAGACTCAATACTGGAATTTAAGGCTTCTGTCACAGTACACACTGGCATTCAAAACAAACCTCTACAACAGCGAGAAACTCTTCTTGTGGAAGAGAGCAGACTTTTGCCGAGGTTATCAGGTTCAAGTATATAAAGTGTACAGATCTGCTCCTCTTTGTGCAGATGGTATTCTTTTTATCATGTGACGAAAAGTCAGTTAAAATGCTGTAACGCGTGAGGAGTCTATTGTGTTTTAACTTCAGTCAGCTTGCAGCAGAGAGGGTACATAACTTTCCACTAACAAAGTGCAGATTTGGAAACCTGAAGACAAAGATCCCAAAGTCACACTGTCTTCCTTAGGCTGTGACTAAGTTTTAAGTGTTTATTACACTGCCAGTCCCATATATGAATTTTATTTTCTTAAAGTTGTACTATTTCCTTTTCTAGTGTTTCTTCTGACACTTTGCTCCCTGAAGTATCATCATCGTTAGAGTAATTTCCTGAATCTCGACTGCTCTGTTTAGAATCTTTGTAGTCTTTAAAATCAATTTGCTTAACTTCTTCTGTAATGATACTCTCAATTATAGAACAAATTTCTGTTGGTTCCTCCGTAGTTGGCAGATAAGGACTGCTAAAGAGCTGTCCTCCAAAACCCTGCAAAAAGAGAAGCAGAAAAGAACGAGATGAACATTGATACATAATACCTAAATAATGATTCTGCTTAACACCACAGCTGTACAAATCTGGTTTAGTGTATTCAGTAGCATCATGAGGTTTTCTACCTATAATATGTAATTTGTTTCCCTAAGTTCACAAACTCAAGGTTAGGATGAAGTTTAGTTGCATTTGTATAATGAAACACTAAAGAATGACTCTAACATGAATCTTAACTCTTTTGCTATGATCATAGTTGTCAATCATCTGCATAAGTACAATACTTCATTGATTATAGCCTTATGAGGCCACACAAGAACTAAAGGAAAATCTTAATTTAGAACACTTTCAAAGACCATGCGGTAGCATGGGAATGACTGCAGAGTCTACAAATCATTATCAGTTATAAAGCAAAGTTGGAAAGAGAAAGTGAGCTGCCTCAACAGGATACCGAACTCTATACAGCTCTCAACAGTGCACTGCTGTCTATCCTACATGCTTTAAATCTCTTCTCTGAAGCGGCCATTTAAATCTGTTCTCTGAAGTGGTCATTTATATCAAATCCATCACAAAAGGTTCTCAATATGCATTGCCTTAATTATGCTACCAGCATTCTACTGAACAAACCAGCTAAAATGCTGCCTTACAAATAAATTAAATTCAGATTAGCTCTTGTAAACTATAGGATTGGTTTTAAATGACAACTTTATTCAGAAAGCTTTGTATACGATATCTCCAAGGAGCTTCAGTGAGAAGATGGTCATATGCTGCTCAACATCAATGTTCTGAGAGACACAGAAGAAAGCACAGTGAAAAGCAGTTCTTGCTACATTTCAAAATATACCTACACTTACGTGTTACTGCCCTGTTCATTCCAGAGCAGGATCCCTACTAAGTACTACCTGCACCAAGCTGAGCTGGAAATTGGACAACATCTGCATTTTTACAGACCATCCTGGTTGCTAGGTCAGGAGATGGTAGAAGCATCTTCTGCCTGCTGTACTAAAATTTCCTCTAAAGACTTGGCTTGCATTTTCACCGCCTCTGAGTTTTCAAAGATGGCAAAAAGGTTAGAGCATGCTCTTCCAGATAACACAACGGGAAAACATCTCAGGCCTCGCGTAGCAGGGCAAAAGTACATTATCACATTGGGTAGACATGCACTCTCTGGAATGAAGGACTGTTAGCAACACTTTTGTACAGACAGAAATAAAAACATAACAGTTAAAATATTTTCTAATTGCAGACTTCTAGAAATGGACACTATCCATTTTTTCCATAGGAATTTCTGCACCTCTTTAAAACCTACACAATTGATCTTGGAGCATCCATAAACCCACAGGATAATAGATAAACACTTTTTCATAATGTTTTCTGTTCATTTTTCTAAAAATACATCTGCTTAATGAATGAGAAAAATACGTCTCAACTTACCTCTATGTTCAAAGGAGGCTGGCATGATGGAAAGAACACGTATTTGATTTTATTGTAGGCTTGATACAGGACAAAAACAAGCGGTGTAGCCACAAGTAAGACAGCAATCAGGGCAGTTACAAATGTTGCTAAAATGATCAGAGGTAAAATTTTATCTAAAAAAGTGAATGAAATCCATTCAGTGTAGGTATTCATAAATTACAAAGATTACAGAACAGATTATCTCCCAATCTGCTCTTAAGTATTTACCATAAAATTTCACATTTCTACAGTACTATACCCAGCCATGATGATCACTACAAAAATGATGCCGTTCCAATATCTTAGAGAATCTGATTAACAACACAGCACAAAATATTTACCCCATATAAGAACACAGGCATTTGCAGACAGGATCAGAACCAAGATCCAGTTATCCCCAGTTATATTCCAGTTATATATCACTATTTGACAGCAGGACAAAAAGGCTGCACATAGACAGCTACCATGAAGCACCTGGTGCATGTAAATCTATCGTGCTATTGCTTGTGCACAGGGTCTAACCCCAAGGAACAGGACATGTTCTCTCCTTTAAAAGGACAGAGATACAGGAGTAAGAATTACCATGGGCTATGGAGTAAGAATGGGCAACTACTACTGCGAAGTTGGCCCATGGTTCTTTAGCCAGGAAACGATTAGAGTTTCTAGACTTGTAGGGTCTTCAGGGACCCAAAAGCATTCAAATGTTTTCTTGGACAGGAGAGGAACTCCAATTCTAAGCTTCAGATGACTACAACACAGCCAATAGAGAGAAAAAGCATCTTCCAGTGAGCATCTTCCATTCCTTTCAGATGGTTATCTAAGAAGAAATCAAGCCTAAGGCTATTCCAGTTATTTTCTACACTGGTAGTCTAGACACTAGCTCAGCACAAGGTTTTACTTTGTCAGTATAGAAAGGCAAGATGAATTTTCACTTCAATGCTCAAACATGGTGTCATCAACTTGATGAAGCCAAGCTGAGTTGTGCAGTTGATTAGCTTGAGGGAAGAGACACCATCCAGAGCCACCCTGACAGGCTTGAGAGCTGGGGCCATGCAAACCTCATGAAGTTCAACAAGGCCAAGTGCAAGGTCCTGCACATGGGTCAGGGTAATCCCAAGCACAAATACAAGTTGGGCAGAGAATGGATGGAAAGCAGCCCTGAGGAAAAGGAGTTAGGGGGTGTTGGTTGATGAAAAGCTGGGTAGCAATGTGTGCTGGCAGCCCAGAAAGCCAACTGTGTCCTTGGGCTGCATCCAAAGCAGCATGACCAGCAGGTCGAGCGAGGGGATTCTGCCCCTCTGCTCCGCTCTGGTCAGACCCCCCTGCAGTACTGCCTTCAGCTCTGGGGCCCTCAGGACAAGAAGGACGTGGACATGTTGGAGCGAGACCAGAGGAGGCCACGAAGATGATCCGAGGGCTGAAGCACCTCTGCTGTGAGGACAGGCTGAGAGAGTTGGGGTTGTTCAGCCTGGAGAAGAGAAAGCTCTGGGGAGACTTTAGAGCAGCCTTTCAATATTTAAAAGGGGCTATAAAAAAGACAGACATTTCTTACCAAAGCCTGTAGTGACAGGACAAGGAGCAAGGATTTTAAACTGAAAGAGAGTAGGTTTAGATTAGTTATCAGGAAGAAATTCTTTATGATGAGGGTGGTGAGGCACCGGCAGAGGTTGCCCAGAGAAGCTGTGGATGCCCCATCCCTGGAAGTGTTCAAGTCCAGGCTGGATGGGGCTGTGAGCAACCTGGTCTGGTGGAAGGCATCCCTGCCCATGGCAGGGGGCTTGGACTAGAAGATCTTTGAAGGTCCCTTCCACCCCAAAGTATTTTATGAGTCTATGGTTCTGCATTCCTATATTAACCTAGGAAATGTGGAAAACCTTTTAACAGGCTAGGCCTTAAGGCTGAGACCTTATGGTAGAAGGGAGTTTATGTGACAGAATCCAGCTTTTGATAGTAAAATATTGTAGTCAAAAAAACCTTTTATCTCTATAGTCATAAGCTATTTAGTGCTTAAGTTCCGGAGTCTTGCAAGCTTCCTTCTCCCCTCCACACTTCTGCTTTGCAATATATTCTCTGGCACTCTCTCTAACAAACAAACAAACAAAAGGGAGTCTGAACATACTAAAATAAATACATACCAGGAGACACTTTACAAATAATCAAGATAAGACAATTGGGTTTTTTTAATCTCTATTAATCCATTAATACGGATGATCAAAGAATGAAAGATTTCCACGCTGGGATATAAGAACATATGGGAAGTACAGGGCATGATCTGTATGGTGGCATCTCTCAATAGAGAGTCTTGATTGTATTGCTTGGTCTTAAATAGGCTCATGATAATAGAAGGATATGGGGAAGACTGAAAACTAACTAGGAAAATAGATCAAAGAATTTCTCTTAGGAAGGTAAAAAAAGAAACATTTGTTTCTTTTTAGGCTTGATAAAGACAAAGCAACAAGGACTACAATACAAATGAATCCTAAGAGCTTAAGATGTGAGAAAGTAGCATTATTATTATTACATTTTCTTAGCTTTAAGTCAGTTTGGATATTCAGTAATTTTTCTAGTGTTACAGCCTGTTAATAGAAGATAATAGACCAAATTAAATTCAGCAAATAACTTGCTCTTCTGTTCTGAGCAAGCGTAATCCATCTACAAGTGTACTCTCATTTTGCGCAAAGGTGAGCTTTCAGCTATAATGAGCCTGATGATTTGTCTCCTCACACTTTAGCACAGGATTTTGTTATATTTAATTCATTCACGGAAGAACTAAGACAATTTCAAGAATAAATATTCCTGAAAACATAGCATTTAGTGATTCCTTGCACCTTCCTAAAAATAACCTAAAAGTCCTGGAAATTAAAGCTTGCTTATCAACAAGCCATTGTATATTTAATTCACATTCATTATAGTTATTAATCTGAGATAATTTCTAAACTGAGTTGTGTTGTAGAATAACCAGAGTGTAATTTTGATCGGGTCGGAACAGAAGCAGTTTATTAGTTTAACTATAGGAGAGAACACAGAGCAGCAAAGTGACAGACTGCTGATACGGATCTCTGCCCACCCAGGTGCTAACTCTGTGGGGCCATTAAGGCATGCTGCAAATATTTTTTAACTAGAGACCTGCAGAGGCCTGTGAAGGGTTAACAATTTTGCTTCCAGAGGTGTAACAACTCTCAAGCTTTTCCTACCTCCTGGTGTTTTGATGCATTCCTCTTTGCTGTAATCACTGGTTTTGTTGTAAGCTTCCGAGAATGCTTGTACTTTTACACAGTACAAAGTTGAGGGTGTTAGATCAGAGACTGTCCCTATTGTCTGTTTTATCTCTTTCATTTTGATTTCCTCCTGAAAAAGAAAAATTGGAAGAATAAGATGCACATAAATAGTACAAGATTAGATTAATCTTCTAATTAGATTAGATTAGATTAATCTTCTAATCTCAAATAGATTAGAATTTTTTGCCTCTGCTGAAGAAGTAATTCTGTAAGAAGTCAGACACTGTTCTGCACTTGGATTAAATAAAATAAAGGAAACCACACAACTCTCTCCTAAGCAAACACGTTCAGGAAACATTTATCGGCAAGAACCAACTGCTTTCGCCACACTAACCATACTGAAATGTTACAGGTCAAAGCTGTGTGCAAAATGAAGTTTCTTCCTGTTGCAGTTTGTTTTCTTCTCTTCTCCCACACATTTACACATACACATTTACCGATAACTGTAAAATAGTTTACTATAAGAAGCATTTAAAGAATATGAAAAGATCCATTAAAATGTGAGCTAGAAGCATGTAAGACTTTTTTGTTTTATGATACATATACCTATAAAACTGCAAACAGAAACAAAAGAATTTGAGGGGCTGGAAGATACATTAATTAAGACAGTGCACAGAGTCATACCGTAAGAAAGAAGTCATCGCAAGAACCCTACAACTTACATTTAAAAGTGAGCCACTCAGCTCAGTGTAATTCTGCAGATCATTACATATAGCCGCACCAATAGAAAAAGATTAAAATCTCAATTACTTTGCCGTAAATCTGGTTAAAACAATCTTTCAGAAAAGAAAACAAACAAATTGATTGCATGATTGATACACCATGTACGCGCCTCTTTTGAAAATAAGCTTCTTGAGGAGAACTCAAACTCAGTATTTAAGTCATAACAAATTTTATATACTGTTTTAAGTATTTAACTAGTTCATACCTCATTATTCGATGAATTCTTCCAGTACAGAACCCGGTAAGACAAGTCATAATGGTCTGTCATGTCTTCATTCTCAGACCTTCCTGGAGGGGAAATCTGGATATGGAGCAAAACATCACTGATGTCCACCTTTACACCAGGAGGGCCAATTTCATCTTGAGACATTAAGAAAAAAAATAAAAAAAAAATATTAAAAATAAGACTGAAAGAATACAAATAAAAATATTGCATAAAATACTGTAATTTAAATCAACAATTTTTAGAAACTTATACGCAAAAGTCTAACTTGACTAATGGCTTTATTCAGAATCTTAAGTCCCAAGAAGTATTTAAATTATTTTCTCTTTCCACATTCATATGTTGCTTCTGCAGGTTTCAGTGACATGAAATACACAGATGGTGTGATTAACTCTGTGTACATCAAAGGGCAACTACCAAACACTTCTTAATCTCATCAGGATATGGGCCCTCTTTTTCACACATACCCTCTTCCACAGTTATAGTATAGTTGAAAAGTGAGAAGCATTAAACTTTCTGTTTGCTTTTGTTGAATTATTTACCTAAGTCATTGTTATCTTATTAAAGAATTGTCCACGCTTTTAGTAATTAGATAAGGGAAAGCTGACGTATAGGATAGCTATCGATTCCACCTTCAATATAGAAGGCAATGGAATATTACCCTACATACTAGATAAACATTTCTTGATGTTTATGATTGACAACTTTTTTGAAGTCAAACATTTTAGTAAGGTCACATTTCTCACAAAATCAAAAAAGTGCAACAAGATAAAAATTACTATAATCTCACTCTGAAGGGTGTTACGTATTTTTGATTTAGATGCCACTATCATTTAAGACTGCTTTTTCATGAACCTCTTCAGGGTTACATGTCAAGGTAATACTACTTCAGCACAAAATTCAGGGGTACACTGAGCAGGGGTAGAGAGAAGGAGGAGATGACAATAGATGCACAAGAAGAGAGGCAATGGATTCCAAAATTTTTTTACTTTGTCATCATTTTTCTGAGATATCAAGAAGTGTTCCCTCTCGATGGCAAAAGTCAGACTAGGGATATTTCTAGTACAATCTCACACAGTGATTAATGTAGAATACAGTGAGATTATAGAATGCCATATAATGCTTTGTGGTTTAATTTTGTAAAGCAAATGATATGATTCTAAATATAGTGAACTACTAGCTGTGCTGAATAGAGAAGACCATGGAACAACTCCTGTTTAACTTGACGACGCCAGGATTTCCAACACAGTTTCTGTAGGGGAACTATGTATTCAGTTTCATTAATCCAGCAAGTTTCTTTTTGCAAATAATAGCATTACATACAAGTTTGTTAAGAAATTAAAATTGAAGAAAACATATTTGCTTACTTGTTACCAGAGGATCTACTTTTACTTCATTAGACAAACATGATTTATTATATTCGTTCATGGCCTGCACACGGAGATAATAAAATCCAGTAGTAGTAGTGATGATAGATGAGAAATTGCATTGTGTATCAGTGATGTTTTCACATCCGAGTACATTGAGCCACTTCACTGAGTAATCATCATGAAGTTTCTTTAGATACCCACTGCAAGAGGTAATTTTAATAGTTTTTGACGTGAGGTCCTTGAACTTTAAAAATAAAAAAATAGCATGTTCACTTGTGCTACACACCTTTTTTTATTTTTGGAAGAATGGACCTCTTAGAAATTTCTCATAAATGAAAAAATAATATTCTAAATATAACCAAAACAATAAGGTTAGCTGGATCAGGAAATACAAATTAGTTCTTTAATCAAGCCTCAATAGAAAAATTATGTATTGGTTTTAGAAATTTTTAAAATCCAAATTAAGATTTTTTCATATAGTTCTATTAAGCCAATTATTTTTCTGTCACGCCAAAGGAATTCCAAAAGAACGCTAGAGGTATCTCTCCTCTTCACTTAGATGCTGGCCACAATATTGTGCGACAACTGGATATTAAGATACAGGTTTATAGACATGATGGGGTTTTTTCCATGTCAGGATCTGATCAGAAATAATCAAATATGTTGACAACTGAAACCCTGAACACTTGCATTTTTGCTCACTTCTAGTCATCTAATTTTTTCATGTTCAAAAAGATATGAAGCAATGCAAACTTCACATCTTTTAAAAATGTTACTCAACATATATTTAGTGGTCCATTCCATCAGGTATTTAACGCTCTTAAAACAAGCCTAGTACCTTGAAATTCTAGAATATGATGTTATATGCAATCCTTTTAAAAGCCCAGATGAGGTACCCAATGTTTCAATGAATACATTAAACCACTTTTGCTAAGGATTTCACTAACTTCTAGTAACTATTTGCAAAATACAATGGATGGCATTTATAATGACATAACCCGTTTAAATAGAGATATGGAAATTGTTTAACTCACATGAGATACTGTACATTGTAGTTCACATGTTGTTTATACTGATTATTCCAATGCAGATGAAACTTCATATTCAATGCAAAAACACGCACATTTGTTGCGCAGAGTAAGTCAGTCACTGCTCAAAATGAAAAGGAAACCCACGGTACTGAAAAGCTTTATATTATGTACAGCAATTTCTCACTGAATGGGTATTTCTCATGTAAATGGTTCTGGTGTTCTTTCAATAATTAAAAAAAAAAATAAATTGTCTGTTTTCATTATAAAGATGCCAAATCAAAGTCTGTGATATATACAGTGTATTAAGCCTGTGTATTAAAAAAAAAAATCAGTTAAAAATAAATTCAGAAAAAAATAAGTACAGAAACGTGGAGATTAGTAGAAATAAACTGGTTCAGCGATAATTCAATGAGAAAAATGTGTAAAATACACACATGTAAACATAAAGTAGTTTTGATGTACCATCCGTGCATCTAATGTTTGACTTTCTACATTCCTACACTTATTTTTTTCCTGAAATAAACATTAAAAAGTACTTAAACTGACAGCTGAACAGCACACAAAAGAATTTAAATTTAGACATGCAAAACAAGCAACTGGTGGAAAACTGCCACTAAGCCATTCTTTAGAATCTGTAATAATACATTCATCAAGGCTTGCATAAAAACATTTTTTTAAGCTCAGCTCAATTTTATATGCACTCATGTAGTGCCAAGTATATAAAAGGCTTTTGTTTTGCCTATATACACATCCCTTTCCTCCTGATTCAAAGTCACAAATTCAAAAATATCTAGTTTTCCAAAACACAGAAAGTAGTTTTTGCAATCCAAATTAATGGACAGAATTTGCCTCAGAGCAAAAACCTTTTTGTACTATTAAAACTAATACTGATAGGTAATATATTTTACATTGATTTAAAGCAGAAAAGGTACATAACTGTCAAATTGCTGTTATACCAAAATAAGTAGGAACTTGGCATTTCTGTGTATTTCTATTGTTTTAGAACAATTTATTTTCCAACAGTTTAAACTTGAGCAATCATTTTAAGATAAAACAATTTTACTCTGTACCTTTACGGGTAGTTTTTACACAATGAATGGGACTGAATAAACCTTCTTGCAAGTCCAAAGGAAGAGTTGCTTGAACTTTCAAACAATAGGTTGTATCTGGTGCAAGATCATCAATTATGTCAGTAGGAAAAATACTTTGACTTCTGAACTGTAAGAAACAATTGCAAACAGTGTATGAAGATAACTATTCTTCCTGATGAGCTGATTTTGTAAAGTATCTTTTTTCTTCCCCAGGTTTCAGCCCGTTTATATAATATGCCATCAAAAATGCTAAAATAGGGAATGAAGGACAATGTATCAGCTGAATAAACACTAAAGGGAAGTTTCCAACTTAGCCATGTGATTGAGAGGAAGGAACATGTCTTGCCTCTTCAACACATGAAAGTGGGGAGGGATTGCAGCACTGCTCTACGTGAGGCATGACTCACCACACAAATATTCCAGCATATACCCAGAAGAGAAACGGCACACTTCCGTCCCTCAGTTCACTGAGCCAACACTCCCCACTCCTGCTACCTCCCTGCTTTTGTTTAACAGACTTTTCAGCAACTGACCTTTGTACACAGCTTGTACTTAAAGCCCTTTTTTCCCCTTTTGATGTGTAATGATTATGACTAGGTCTTCCAAATGAACATCCAGTTCCTACCCTAACCTAGCTGGCATCAATTCCCCTAAAAAAATAAAAAAAGAAAGACTCTTTCTACCTTGGTCTTTATAGAATAGCTGTATCTGGTATGCAAGATGCACATTACGGCTTGGAAACTAGTTCACAATTACCAAGATCTCAAAAGAATCCCTAAAAAAACGCAACCTACAGTGTAAAAACAAAGAACTTAGTTAATGACACAGGACAGCACACTGAGAGCTGCAGACAAGCTATATGGCCTTGGCAAGATCAAGTTAGCCTCTCACCTCTCCCCTCCCCTGTATCTATGCCTTACTGTAAAGGCTTCTCCCCACTGCCTTGAACTCTTTCCCCTCCCTGTTCCTGCTGGCTGAGGGTGCCTCCTGCTCCAATACATACGAGATGGTTTCACCTTCTTCCTCGTGCATTGTAAAGTGGCTCCAGCATTTAAACAATTAAAGTACATCTCTGACAGTTATGTTAAGGTTAAAAAGTTAAAAAAAAAAAAAAACAAAAAACTTGAAGAGTGATCATACCTCTGCATTTGACGAATTTTCCCAGATAACTAGATTATATTTAAAGCGTAGAGCAGCTATCCACATTTTTCGGACTTGATTGGCTTCTGGAGGAGAAACCTTAATTTTTATGACTCCATTTATGGACTGCAACTGTATTCCTGGGGGACCAATCCGAGCTGCAAATATTGAAAGAAAAAAAAAGTAAGCATGACTAAAGAAAAAACACCAAAAAAGTAATTTACATTAATAAAACCACAGTAACTGTCTATAGTATCTTATTTTTAATTCTTTTGAGGCAGTAACAAGATCACAGTAATTGCCTACAGGATCTTTGTTTTCATGAATCTCAGGCAGTATCTAATAGAAATCTAACCTAACAAACAATGGCTGTTACCTGGTTCTAAAAGCAGTAGAGTTAAAAATGCCGTATTACTAGTGAATGTTCTCTGGAATCTGCAGTGAAAATCAGTATAAGTTATTCTAAAACATGCAAGGCAAGAAACCTAGCTCAAACAAATCAGTCCAACATTGAGGGAAGGCTTCAGTACCATACTATGCTGTAACTACTGAAAAGTCACAAGGTCAAAAGAAAACTTCCAGAAAAGTCCACTGTCAAAAAGGATTTTTTTGAATGTAGAAAAATACCTCAAATATATTACGTTAAGGTTGGGAAAACAACTAGCTCATGTTGTTCCAAGCAATGGAAACCACACGCATTTTTTTCACAATAATGTGCTGAAGGACATTTAACTAAAAATGTTAGAGTATATATGGAGCTCATACCTGTAAAATATGGAATCATTTCAAAAGTGCTAGACCATGGAGACATTTCTTCCCTTCTTTCAGCCCTTATACGCACTTGATGTGTATCATAGTATTCAGTTATTGCTGAGGAAAAGTCACATTCCGTGTGAGTAACATTTTGACACCCAGGCAACTCCTTCCATTCCGTTTCATTTGCCTCAAAATCTTCAAACCTGTGAGAAAGAAAACACCTCAGAAATAAAACCAATACACAATTTAAGTCTTGAGATTCTTTTTCCTTTTCTTCTTAATGCTAATAAATGTCACACCATTTAATCACCAGCACCAGTGTGATCAGAGTTATCTACTTAGTTACCCTGGAATTAATATCATAATTTAATTCATTAATTTAATCTATTAATTTCTTAGTTTAGCCTTATTACCAAAGGTTAACTATCAGTCTGCAGAGTCTGACATCAGTTTGCTTTATTCACAGTATAAACACAGTGTCAGAAAACAGCATCAAAGAACTGTCAAAATCCAGAATTATATCCTTAGTACATGATCCTAGTTGGGCAATGATTTTATAATTCATTGGAAGAAATTTAAAAGTCTTGATGGCAAGGAGTGCTTAAAAAAGCACAAAAGCAACAAACCCCCCCAGTTCTAACATTAGCAAGGAATGCAGATTAGGGGAAAAGAAAAACACAAAGGAGAAAACTGGAGTTCAGCAATAACTGTTGGAATAATTAGCTTTGCAGAAGCTATTTTTCTTGTGAGTTAACAGATATCCACACCTTATTTAAGAAAGAGACATTTCATATAGAGATTAAAAATGTCCTGACCAAAAAAAAAAAGAGGCAGACATGAAGCAGTAATTGCTTATCCTCAACTCATATCTTATCTTTCAGAGCAGTATTATATTTTTAAAAGTAAAACTATTTTCAAAGCAGCTCTTTCTCATCCACATGTTAAAGAAGGTGAGCTTTTTTTTTTTTTAAATCCAAAAATCATACACTAGCAAATCCTAAAATCAAGAACTTCTTAAGTGATTTTACCTTATAAGTGTTTTTTAATATTTATTTGTCAGGAAAATGCCACAAAATACCAAAATGTATATGTACATGCATACATATGTATTGGTATATGAAACAACTGAAGAAAACTAAGCAAACATTTAAGAACAAAATTAAAATTGTTTCATCTGGTAATTAAAATTTGCAGATGAGAAATCTGGATTCATAAAACACTGTCAAATTATTCAAAAGTTACACTGAAAATTCTCTGAAATTCTGTGTATGTGTGTGGCCACAATGCAGTTTAATTAAAAAAAAAACAAAACAGAGAATAAATAAATTTAAACACTACATTTCTAAGTGTACTGGTTAATCTTGTCAAAGAACCACTCTAGTATTAAGCATTACTACCAAGTGTGTTCTGCATTTATAACAAGTCGCTATCAGTGAACAATCTAATTTTACATATGAATTAGACAAACAAAGGACAATACTACAATTCTACTTCATTTCAAGATTTAGATTCCACTTCATTTCAAGATTTAATCTTCCTGGCCTCTACTTTCTGGATTTCAAAAAGACTCTAGAACTTTTAGATGGCAGTATCAAGAAGCATAATAATTAACTAATATGCTGTTCTACACAAATAAGAGTCAGACATTTCTGGCTCAGAATAAAGTTACTACTTACCACCGGTATTCTGCTGAAAATGTCACATTGGTATCATCCCCAGTGTAGTTCCACCTTAGAGTAAAATTTGTATTTACAACATCAACCTGAATATCCTGCGGGCTCTTCAGATCAGTTTGGCCTACAAGAAAGTAACATAAAGGTATATACAAATTGGGATAAATAATCTGTACCTAACTTTGAATAATTTACTTTTGTTAAAAAAGTAAAAGTGAAGTAACAATAAACATAAGAGGTAAGAAAACTCCACGCTACTGAAACGGCACTTCAATATATAGCTCAGGAGCTGTGCACCAGGGTAGCTCCTTTGCCTATCTGACTACACAGCTCTTTATAAGAAAGAAAGACTTTAAGCAAAGTCTTTCTCCCCACGCTCCCTTAAAAAAAAGAAAAAAGAAAAAAATCTATACAGTTGTGACATTCAAGGCCTGTGTTCACTGTCCTGGGTTGATTATAAGCAGTCCGAATGCATTTAAACCAGTATTTTATTGGTTGGTTTCAACATCTGGATCTCAGCTGCAAAGTGCTAGGGACTGAACTAACGCTGTCATTTCACAGTTGTGGAACAGATTGAGCACAGCAAACTTGTTTTGTGTCACATGTTACTGCCATAAATTCAATGTATTGAACATAAATTCCTTTCAGTGAGGCTTCATCACATAGCAGATCTTGTCTCTTGCTCATGGTAATCCTGTGGGGTTTTTTACAGAAAGGACAGTGCATAAAATGACTTACGGAGGGCAAGGGCTAAGCCTCACAACACATATAAGAATGCCTGTAACATCCAGGGAAGGACCGGACCACGAGAAGAGAAGGCTTAACAGGAGGGACGCATGCACGCTAGAATCCTCTGCAGGATAGCACTCTCTCCTCTTTAATTTCTACCTTTCAAAAAAAACCAACTGCCTCATAATTACCTTATATTCCACCTCCTAAAGACGACTTCTTACCATTAACTTTGAGATATGCAGAATCCCAGGTGTCCCATTTGGTATACAATTTCAGGTATCAGAGGACAGATGAGAGTAACAGTACTGTGGGAGAAGGAATTATTCTGGTACTTCTGAAAACTGAAATTTATCTAGCTATTTATAAGGTACATTTTGCTTTGAATTATTTCACACCAGTCTGTGGCACTGCTTTAAAGCAGTAAGGATAAAAAGTTACAATCAGGGCTGAAAGTTTGGACTGAAAACTAAACCAGATTGTGGCTTACAGAGCAAAGGGAAAGGCAGAGGGAATACACGTGAACTGAGGAAGCCTCAGGCAGAAGTCACTAAAATTATACAAAACCACAACTAAGCAGCCATATCCAGATTTACAGAGCTTAAACTTCATCCAGGTCCTTCTCCCTGGTACCTCTGACAACCCAGGCTATGTACAATTTAGGCAGTGCATACCGCTGTTACTCTAAGAATGTACTTTCAACTTCTAACACCTTAGGGGAAAAAAAAATCAACAAATTAATAATAATAATAATAATAAAAAAATAATAAATGACCACACACCTCTCTGACTTGACTTTCTATTTTAACTAGTTGTGTGTTACATTATTAATCACTTCCCAATGGCTACAACTTCTAAAAACATATGTTAGTGACTATCACTCCAAGACTGCTTTTTGATGTCACTCTAATATTTGATTATGTTAGGAAGAAGTCAGAACAAATACATCCTATTTCTCTTAGGCAATCAAAGTCTGTTTGCACATCTAAAGGGTTATCCTGAATTTGATTTTAAGAGTGGCTCTTCATTGCAAAAATGATTTCATATTTTACATGATGACCAAGTTCTCTTAATAAAAAGGAAATGTGTGTGGAAAAACAATCCATAAACTGAAGTCTGCGAAATTCTTTTGGAGAACAGAGTTAAAATTGTATCCACAGACTACTGACTTTTGGAAATAACTCCTGAAAGCACAAAACTTGAAAGCAAAATAATTCAATAAAACCTTGCGGATCCCACTACAGGATTTATTTCCAGAATGCATGAATTTGTTACTCTTCTAAACTGACAAACTAAGATAATCCCAGAGAATGCTAAACTGTGTCTGATCATCAGAAAACATGAAAGCAAAGGAAATAACTATTTTTTTTTCCAGATGTTTATCCAACAGATGGCTACAGTTCAGCCAAAAAGTTTATGATAACAAAGGCAGCTCTTTCAGATTTTGGCAAATAATAGTAATTTTGAATATTTATATCCCTTCACAAAGAAAATACTCACTTCATGGGAAAACATTATTTTCACTTTATTTGAGAATGCTTGCATTAAATTTAAGAATCAAAAACCCTGGAACAGAAAAATTCCACTAGCTTTTAATAGTAAATTTAAAAAAAAGCACAACTCTCCTATTACCATAGAAAGTATAAGCCTGCCAGAGCCACCCGAAAAAAAAATAAATGTAATAGTTTGACGAATACCACCACCTTTGACAGCTGATAGAAGGAATGTTACAATCTTGCTTAGTAAAATTCATTGCTTTATGACCCAGTGGAAGATTATTTAAGTGTTGTGATACAGCATAACACTTTCAATTTCAGTTCTAAAGAAAACACAGATTGACATCTTTCACTTCTGAAGTGCAGGGTAGTGCTTTTCCCTGTAAATACAGGTAGTCATGTATTTGCAGAGACTTAAAAAAGATCATTCACACACTACATCTCTTTAATTATTTATTTGTAAAATAGATATTAATAAACAGTATGACAAAAAACCTGTTTCAAACCATCTTTTTCAACTGCTGACATTTGAATAGCCTCCTGAAGCAGAAAGCAAGAGAGGGTTTCCTGAATTCTCTAGCAGGAGGTTTAAAAACCTACCATGGCAATACTGAACAGAAGTCTTTACAACAGGAGATTCCCAAAGTAGATTCTTTACCCTGAACAACATAGAACCTTGGAGTAAACTGTAAGAAGGTAGGATTAGACAAAATAGTATTAGCTGAGAATCACATAGCACTTACAGAGCTCCAATGCTGATAAAAAAATGCTACTATATGTTAAGACTATTATTTTTGTTTGCCTTGGGTAGAAAATGAAATATTCACTGCACTTCTAGAGCATCTTTCCCACATTTTCAAATCCTTACCTTCTACATAGCACCAAGTTTTATAATAATTCTTATTAGACTTTTTCTATTTGAAGTCAGACAGGAAGAAGGAAGTTCAGAAGCAGAAACAAAATTGTTTCAAGATTCATGTTCTAACCAGATATACTTTCTCCCCAAGTTACAAAAAACATGCTGACGTAAGACATTCAACTAACGTTTTAAGCTAGGCCAGATTTTCTAAAGCTGGTAAATACCACAAGAAATAATCATATCCTCCCTCTGGATACAAACGATCTTGTACAAATACAGCTCTGGATTCTGACACTTGGAAGACGATACAGTATTCCAGTCCTACAGTAAGGAATGACATCCTGAAGGATGGATGTTCTTTAGAAAGGAATTGTTCAATATTCAGGAACAGGCTGTCCCCGTGTGTAGAGACAAGTCGTCGGGGGAAAAAGACCAGCCTGGGTAAACAGAGAACTTAGGTTGGA